AAAGAAAACGTTCCGAAGAATATTTAGTTATAAATTTGGCTGTAGAAAGAAAACTTTGAGCGATTTTCTTGCTTCGAGGAGTTCACCTTCGAAAACAGTAAACCGGGAAACCGGCTAAAACATAAACTTTACGCTTAAAGACTCAGGATTTTTAGAGACACTTTAATACTTGTCTTCGTGAATGAAAATTGTTGTCTCTGTAAATGTTTCACGGAATTATATCTCTTTTTTTGATTGTTAGTAGTCTCTCTTGCAATATTAATCGCTTGTCCGTGCCGTTTGTTTTCATCGTTCATGACCATCGCTTGCAGGAGTACTCAAAAATGTCGCGCGTATCAAACGCTTTATAAGATCACACATCGTTAGTATGTGTAATCAAATGGTGACGAGTGAAATTAGAGAATAATTTCACGCGCGTTTTGTCCAAATCCTTGTAATTTCCCTCGCTTAAAGGCTCGGGAAATTATTAGGATTTGGACAAAACGCAAGTGAAATTATTCCCTAATTTCACGAGTATACCGTTTGATTACCTTTTAATATCATGGGTGACGAATTACCTTAACAATCGAGGATTTTTGACTTGTTTATCCTGGATCGTATCGATCGATCGTGAACTCCACTCTCTCAAACGTTTAGAGCTGAAATTTGGCTTAAGTTTTTAGAATTTTTCGACAACATACCTCTAAGAATCCTTCTTGATATGCTCTTAAGTGTGTTCAGGTTTTCTAAAGCATCTTTTTATGTCCTGACATCTTCATTCATGACATTTTAAAACTTCGTCGCCATCTTGACACTGAGACGTACGGCAGGTTGCCTTGGCAATAGTCCAGTTTCCAATTCAAAATTACTGCTGAATACAAACATTAACGACACATTCATACAGGGTTAGCCTCGACGTAAAGTAAAATATTCAGAAATTCTGGCAAGTAAGTGTTTGAAATTTGAGTATACACAATAGACAGAGTAATAAACAGGTGTTTTTCTCGTTGGAATTTGTGAATACATTACTTCAGGTGGAGCCTAAGGCTGTAAAAAATGGGTCTTCACTTCTTTAATTCAGCGGTCATAGCGAACTCGAAAATGGACTATTTAGTAATTTCACATGTGAAATTACTAATTAACTCTGAAATTTCGCGCCAAAGTTAAGGAGTAACTCGTCACCTATGATATTAGCCTTGAAAAATTGTGAAATACCGCATTCTGTCCGAGCTCTGTATTATAAATAGTACTGTTTCACCTCAAATGTGGTGTATAAAAATTATAAAAGGTTGGTTTAAACACCCCCAGATTTGTTGGCAAGAATTTGTAAAGTAAGGCCCAGTTCATACGTCGTGCTTCTGCCGTGCCGAACTTAATTCTTGAATTAAGTTCGACATAAGCACGGCAGAAGCACGACGTCTGAATCAAAGTTTTTAATTTAGTGCGGCAGAACAATTAAGTTCGACAAGGTCTGCCGTGCTACACGACTCTGGCACGGCAGCGATTCAAACGTCGTGCTTATGCCGTGTCGAACTAAATGCATAAATTTCGGAAATGTATTTTCGCGGGAATTGTTATCTTGCGAGTCCCGCGAGTAGCTTCGAGGAAAAATGTCCTTCAATGAGCATGCGCATTGATTCTGTTTTTTACCCCAGAGCTCCTCTGCGCATGACGGCCAGGAATCAGAAGCGTAAACACTGGGGTCGAGAATGGTTTAAAACAAACATGGCGGCTTTCCGTGCAAGTTTGCATGCTCCTTCCTCCTTGGTTTGCAGTGCTGCAGAGTCCGATAATTCATCAGAAGACGAACTACCTTTTGACGAAAATATTCCACTAGCTGGCTATAAAGATGAGGACGAGGAAGCGATCGGTGATGTTGAGTCAGTGTCATCGCAAACGAGTCGTCCAAACTCGGGTTCAAAGAAAAAGGCGGGAAGAAGACCGACTTGGAGAGAAGACGACGTAACTGACCTGGTAGATATTGTGTGCAATAGTGAGTATTTTAAAAGAAAGATTATATTTACGAACTCAAAGAACACGAAAAACAATGAGATTTATGGCAAGTTGTTGAAAGATTTGAAAGAACGGGCTCTTGCACGAGGTGACGAATTTTCATTTACTGTGAATCAAGTGAGGAACAAATTAAAGAAGCTGATCAGTGAATGTAAAAAGGCGGCCCTCACTATTAAAACCGCTACAGGTATTGATCGCTTTCAAGAGGAAAAAAATTATGGTCCATGGTTTGCAGTGCTATTTGCATTGGTGAAAACGCGTGATTCTTGTCAGCCAGATCGCGCGATTGAGCCAACGGCTAGCGGTAGCAGTGATGTTTTGAGCAACGGAAGTGATCATTCATCAGCATCATCAAGCCCTGTACCTGTTGATGACAGCGAGGAAAGTGCTGGTGAGAAAAAGCTTTTTGTTCCAATAAAGAATAGAGGGAAAAAAAGAAAAGATTTTGCTTCAAGTGCTGTTGAATGTATGGAGAAGTTGTTAGAGAAAGACCCAACCAAAGACCTTCTGGAGTTTTACCGCGAAGAGAACGAAAAGGCTAGAAAGCACGAGATGCAACTCATGCAAATGATTATGTCAACACAGGTGCAAGATTCTGGGCATTTCCCGCCTCAAGGAAACTCCCTGCAGTATGGGTATAGTTACCCGTCACAACATTCCTATCAATATATGGAAAGCGGGAATATGGCACCAAATTATATAAACCTTTGACCTTTTTTTGAAAACATGTTCAAATTATTGTTTATTCCAATAATGGAACCAGAAATCATGTTACAAATTTGTAGTTACTTTTTTTTTCAACAAACTTTACTGTCATTTTTTTCTGAAAAAGTGCTTTTGTCTAGTGAAGACAGAAACTCAGAGAGACAGTTTATATTGGGTTCTCCCTGCTTGTCCATTTCTTGATATTTTTAGCATGATGAAATAACATGTTC